GCGTTTTTTTTTTTTTTTTTTTAAATACAAATTAAGAAAATTTGCATACGAATCAAAGCATTTTTGTCTTTGTTTCGACTTCGTACGTCGTTGATCTTCTTTTTTTTCTTTCTTTTTTTTAATTTCACATTTATATTGCGACACCTGTTGTACTTCACTTTTTTTTTTAGATATTTAGATAATGATGGTCCGTCTGATATTAGTCATCAGTCATTCAAGGTCATCAATGTCCATCGTTTTCATCGTTTCTTAATTTCCAAATCTAACAGGCTTTCTCTAATTTTTATATTTTATATTTTATGACAATAGAGAAAGTCTGATTAATGTAAAAGATTATTGAACGATGTAAAATGAAGGAAAATAAGTGAAATATTGTCAATACTACTATTTTTGGAATGTTAAAAAATTGTAAATATGAAAATATAAGAGAGAAAAAGTGATAATTTGTATTTTGAAGTATGATCTTGAATAACTTGACTTGTTTTTTTTTTGGACAGACTATAGAGTTAACTTATTATCACTTCCCTCCCCTCCCATCCCCCTATCTAAGTACACATACTTCCCTATAATTGCTATGTGTGCTAATGAATATAAAATGGAATAGTTTCTTCCTTTCTTATTATACTTTTTTTTTCTTTATACCACAGGCTTTATATATATTCAGATAAAAAGAGGGGAGAATATTTAAGGGATGATTTTAAAGACTGAAACAAGTACAAAAGTTGGTATGCAAGAATATCCATTCAATCCTTATTTTTCATATTATAAGCAACTCAACGTTTCTCTTTGTCCCATCTAGTTAATAATTAATTAAATGGCTCTTAATTAATGAAAAATAAGTTGTACAATGCATACTTTTCTGCGTACTTTTGTATTTAATTTAGAATTGCATCTTAAATCTTCTTCTCGCATCGTAGAAATATCCTATATGTCTATAACGTGTACACATACACACATATATACACACATACATATATACATATGTAGAAGCAAATGCGGCGAGGCTGGAACTCTCTGAAACTTGTTTTCATTTCAAAGAACAAAGACAGCGTGGTAAAAACTGATGTGCCCCCCTCCCCCGTGTTTATCTTTTCGTGAATCGATTTTATGATATTTTGAAACAAATTCTATCTTAAACGTTCATTATTCATTCGAATTTTAAATGGAATTTGAAAGTTGCGAAGCGGAGACAAAATTTAGAAAAATTTATGTTGAATGAAAAAAACGAAACCACGGAGAGATTTGGATGAATATATATTCTTTGTATTCCACTTGTATTCCCTATTTGATCTAGACGATTTATCTATTTTTCCGCTTGATCTCTTTTGTGCTATCAGAAGTTTTTTTTTTTTTTTTTTTTTAATAACGTGCGTTTTTTTTGTCGTGTATTTTCACCTGAGCGTCCAAAAGTAACGGATTTTCCGTTCACTCACACTTTGAATTTTACACGTCTTCGAGAGAATATTTCTCGCAATCCCGTTCTTTTGCTTCTTTTTTCGTCTTCTTTTTCCTAAGCAATGCGCATTCCCCGACTTATTGTTTCGATAAATTCAACACTCCTCCTTTAGGCACAAACTGACACATTTGCATCTCAGGATTGAATCTCGATTTTCTTTTTTTTCTGGTAATAATAATCGAGAATGAAGCGGTTTTTTTTTTTCGAAGTATACCTTCGAGATCACATGATTTTGGAGACGATACCTTTGGAGAGAAGTTTATCGATATACACATGAATAATTGTTACATATTGAATGTATTTTATGTTATTATTATTCGAGATTTTCCAGATTTAATTTTAAGAATAAAATACGAAGAAATTGGCTCCGAATTGAATTAATTTGAACATTGAATTTTCATAGCTTACTATATTAGGGTATCGTACACAAAGGCAAGCAAGATATGCATGCAGCTTTAACGAGTTTTTGTCAAGATATCAAATTACGTCAAACGGACACAACGTCGAAAGTAAACAAAGTTGACCGGTAAAGGTATCAAATTCCAAATAAGAGAAACTAAATAAGTAACCAAGTAAATAAGTTCTCATTTTTTTAACCAGTTGAATTATTAAAATATCACATTATTTAATTATTAATGTAATATCGTTCATCGCGAAAATACAAAAATTATTCTGGAAATCTCGAATGGTAAAATACACATATATGTTGTGTACCGATTGTAAGAACGCGTATATCATAAGAAAGCAATAGACGAAAGGATTTGACATTCAATGGACCAAGTTCGATTAAATGTACATAAGTGAGAAACAAAAATAATAATAATAATAATAATAATAATAATAATAATAATAATAATAAACGATAGTTGGAAGGATCGAAATGATCTTCTAGGCTCAATTAGCGTCATAGATAGTAGGGAACGAAGAAATTGTTATAATTATATTGTTCATATAAACTTTTAACTTTGATGAAATGTTATTACAGCTTTCAAGGGCTTCCGGATTAATACAATTGTAAAATAATTATAACTACCAATTTTATCGTGATTCACTAG